AAAGAAAAAAAAAGGACCTAAAAATATTAAGTGTTTCCCCATCTCCTCCTCCAAATCAATAATAAATAGAGCTTTTTCTTTTTACTTGAAAAAAGAGAAAAAAAAAAATTGCTCAATAGTAATTTGTGTTATTATATGCCTTATTATAACCAGCTTCAGGTATATATTGTTGTACTCTGTAACTGTCTTGCAATTTTTATCCAGAATCTTTATTCAACTCATGGATTACATTGTTTCCACCCGGCTTTCCAGATTTTTCTGTCACTAGTCATTTTCTTCCACTGACCCAGAGTATGTGACTTTTGAGACTTACTAGACCTAGGAATTGAAATCACAGCTAAGGAACCAAAGACGTTTAATCAACATTTAATATCCATTATCTCCAAAAGTTGTGAATTCAATCCCCGAGACTGGTACTTTTGGTTCAGTGAAAAGAAAAACAAGCAACACAAGAGGCAAATAAAATTGGTGAAATATCCTCAGATGGATGGAAAGCAGAGGGAGAGCAATTTACTTCCATGGAATGGACTGAATCCAGATCAATAAGCAGGGAAAGGTTGTCAAGTATAAAGAGAGAAAAAAGCCAAATGACACAACAGACAAAATGTTGTGTGTATAAACAAAGATGAGAGTGTTAGTTGAAATAATAAGGCATATAATAATTCCTTATCTAGAAAATTTTGATATATTTGATGTTATTTTAAACAGGTTTTTCAATTATGTCTTGTTAATATCTTTGGTGGAATGTTCCACATCTCACAAGACCAATTTCTAAGAAAGGCATTTTTTCTTCTTCATATAATCTAATATCTTTGCTATGGACTATTTTCTCCATTGCATTTCAATTACAAAAAAAAAAAAATTTAAAAAAAAACATTTATTATATGTCAAAAACAAAGATAGCAAACAAGTTAAAATAACAGCTCCAATTCAAAAGGTAATTTTAAATGTTTCTTTAAAAAAAAAATGTGGTGGAAGCAATGAAAATAACAGAATAAAAGGGAGGGTAACAGTGGTTTATTACTTATGAAGAAGCAAGTACACTGCTAATAGTAAACATTTCTAGCTATATAAAAAGAACATTTTAAAAACAGTAGATATTTTTAAAATTCCATCATAATATATAAATGGTGTCAAAAAGCTAGAAATGCAGATACATTTTAAACACTGCAAAAAGTCTAAAATCTGCGACTTTTTGCAAACATAGAAAAGCAGGTCTGCTTTTCTCTTTCTACAAAATAGAAATTGATACATTTTTAAAAACTGCTACAAAACTGAAAATACAGTTTGGGTTTAATAAAATTTTAAATGAAAGAAAATAAAGAAAACACCTTAAAAATAAAAAAGAAACCTCTAAAAATCTCTACGCTACAAAGCAGGACAACAATGCACACAGGAAAACATCCGACTCCCAGATGCCGAGGATTTAAATGTGCCTAATAGTCATGATTTATTTATGAGACAAGGATTTTTAAAAGTCTCATGCTTCAACATTCTCTCTACCTAAAAGAAAAAAAAAAAAAAAAGATTCTGTATGCAGATTTCATTAAAATTTTTTTTTTTTTAATTTCAAATGATTTTAAATTAAAAAATGTTACAAAGAAAATTTCCTGAAAAAAGTCAAAATAGAATTTACTAAATTTGGCAATTTAAAAATAAAATTGTCCACCTATATTAAAACTTGGGCTACTTTTATTACTTATCACTAATAATGAACAGTTGTGGCTAGTACAATGGTTAGCATGCTGATCTTGCAAGCTATTGAGAACAAGCTTAGGTCTTGCTATAGAAACAAAGATTCACACCAACAAATAGGGCAAATTAAAATTATATAAATAAAAACAAGGAGCAATGCATGCAGATAAAAAAAAATAAATAAAAGCATCTATATGTAGATGTAAAAAAGGATAAAAACATTTTACCCTTTTGTAATATCCAGGTTTCAACAATTTGTTTAGCGACCAGAAACCCCATTGTTGAAACCCAGGTTGTACAAAAGGGCAAAATATTTTCATCTTTTTATAGTACTAACCTGCTCTGCAAGTTCAGTTTTCTGAACTGTGCATTGAGCACTTTTTATATATCCATCTTTGGCATGGTAATTTCCCAGCCAATTTTATATATATATATATATATATATATATATATATATATATATATTATATATATCTTTTCCAAAGACAAGCAACCAATACAAATTGTCCCCTTATTTCTTTGACATCTTAAATGTCAAGTTTCCAACTGAAAATGTCTATCAAACAAAATCCGACAACAAGACAGAATAAGAATCTATTGTACAAGTTTCTTTTAAGAGATACATCATTACTAATATTGTAGTTTTCAACTTAGAATGTTTAAAAAAAAAAAAAAAAAAAAAAAGATGGCTATAAAATATTAATAAAGCTAACCTGACTTTAAAGAATGAGGGGGGAGATGCTGATTTTTTTTTTTCTATTCTTAGAAGTAACAAAGCAGAAAATATCTCTGGGCAGAATTCATTATTTGCAAGGATGGATTAAGAAGTTTATAACCCAATTGTTGACGTCCCCATTGCAAAAGTTTTGAACTAAATGATTAAAAGGAAGAAATATTGGGAAAATGAGATCATCTACAAAAATAAATATCTGTGTAAAACAAATGCTTTTTCCCCTATTACTATGAATTTACTGATGAACCTCCATGAATACAATGAATTCTTGACATACAATTTTTGTTTAAGAGCTGATTTTAAAACAATGTGCATTTACATTACAAAAAGATATGAAAATACTGTCCACCTTTCAGATGGTAGGAACATTATTGTAAAAAATACTAAACTGCAAGCAATAGACTGAAACCTATGATTGATTGGTTTGTTTTTGACAGCTTATCAACCCATTTAAAGCTGAATTGTATTTTGGATTGTAAGAATATTTTTTTTTTTTTTTTGCATGTGAATATTGCATTAACAATTTTTGGAGATAATGATTTTTTCCAGATACAAATCCTACTATTTAACCCATAGCTGGGAAGAAAAGCAATGGATTCATACCTTTCCCAAGGGTATTTGCACGTAAGTGAATGTAATGAACTTGATTACTCATTCTGAGATGCTATCCATTACACTGACCACACATCAACAAAGCAGATAAATATTTTTGTCAGGGAAAGGTAAAGAGCCAATTTGAACTATTAAAATATTTATGCAGAAAATAGAAAATCCAGTTTCAAATCATTTTTCCCTCTAGAAATAGAGAATTTATGGTTATATTTTCTGTACCTATGTCATATGAATTTGATTATTATAATATTCATCATGGGATCACTTGTATGAAAAGCATTTAGACTAAACTTTTGCACTTACAATAAATTCCTTCCTGATATCTTGGCTGTTTTTGTCTCTCAAAGGAAATAAAACATCTCCCTTTGAGCCACAGAATAATTTCTAACTTTATTTTCCTGGCAATCCAACCATCAGTTATTAACAGTAGATAAAAGATTTACCTTTAAAAAGGTTAAAGAGTATTTGCATTTTAAGCATATTATATTCTCCATATGAAACTGGAAACTAATGTGTGTACTCATTTTTATTTTTAAACCATTCAAAAAGCATTAAACTTTTGAAAGGTGGTGCTATCCATAGCTAAAGATCCATTTACTCCTGGTTTGGATTATAATTAGTAGATTGCATTTTTTTGCTTAGTTTTGTAAAATTTAATTGTTTTCTTACATAAAGAGTAAAAAAGAAAATCTTAATGATCCAGTTTACTACAAAAAAATTTTTTTTCTAAGATGTAAAATGTCCTAAAACAATTTCTATCTATGCTGCAAATGTTGATCAAACAAGATAATCATGTACAAATTATGAATAGATTTGTATATTTTCTATAAATACTTTCATGGTAATTGTTCAGATGAGCTCTTCACTTTGGTACCTAGACTTTTTGAATTTAAGCACAGTACTAGACTGGCATCAAGAGCTCATCCATTTATAGTTGAGCTGGTTAGATGTAACCATAAATTCTATGCTAAGTTTCTTTTCTCACACTTCATACTTGTGGAACTCCCTTCTGGTTTCATGCTTTCCAGCCAATTTTAATGTGCAAAAATTTAAATACAATATCAATCACTATCTACTGTCCTCTTGATTACTCTTTCCATTTCTTGCTCCTTATTGATGTTTCTGTTTCTAATTCTTCCACACCCTGTAACCCCTTGTGTCTTAGTAGCTTTACTGCCTTGAGGTGATTAAAAAAAAAAAAAAAAAAAAAAAGATTGAGTTGAAAATGAAATACCATGTTGATTGTAGATTAAGACAAATAAATCACAACTTAATTTACAGGTTCTCCCCACACATCCCATAAACCTTTTAATTTTTCAAATCTTGTTTTATAACCTGTACATATAGAATTAAATTAAAAAAAGCTTCTTATTCCACCTCCTGTAGGATTATTCAAATGTATGATGCTAAAGCTTAATTATCCCCCCTGAGAATTGCCATATTAGAATGACAGCCAGAATTGCAATAAAAAGCAACTGAAATTAAGACATACAAAATACTAGTTAAAAATAATAATAATAAATAATAGCAGTATGACAACAATAGTAAAAATACACAAGTTTCTCAATTTCAAACAAACATACACCATATAAGTTTTACATGGATATTATTTTATATACCGTATGATTTGTAATTAGAAATCAACACAATAATCTCAATTTGCTTCCAATTTTTCATTAATAGTAGAACATCATTCCTCTCTTCTCAACCTGGGAAGGTCCTTTGTTGGACATAAGCCTTCCCCAGATTCATGGGGAGGAATAGGCCCCACCCTACTGTGTCGGCGTTGGCCCAATCCATGCTGGTAGGGACAGATCAAATGTGATACACTTAAGCAATTGTGCTTTTTTTTGACTCGTGATCAGCCAAGGGTATTTGCATAAGTGAATGTCATGTACCCAAATGGAATTTGAAATCGGCTCTCAGATTTCTCATCTATTACACCATCTGCACATCCACGCTTACAGCACCTGGTATTCCCAAGTGCTCACTTATCTAGGTATTGACCAGGCAAAATGTTGCTTAACTTCAGTGATCGGACAAGAACTGGTCTTTCAACATATGGTTGTACCAATTAATAACTATACATTATAATAAAATAAAGACTTTTATAGCCATTAAGCTGCTTAAGTACATCAGTAAAAGGTCAAAAGTAATAGCTAACACAGTAGAAAATAAATTTATTATACCAATGTAATGACGTAAAAGTTAAGAATGTTTACTTGTATCAAAATCTATTTTCCAGATTAAGTGTCAAAAAAAAAAAAAAAAAAAAAAAAAAATCTGACTTTGAAGCAATACTATTTTTTTACATTACATATAAATAGGAAATTCACTATATAATTTTTAAAAATGTTTTCCAAATATCTGTAAACCAGAGAACCCTGCTTGTATCCTTTTGGGGGAACAAGTGTTAAAATGGTTAGAATTTCAATATATGGATCAGTATAAATTTAACACAGCTATCAAGGTGATAGAAACAGAAAAAAAATTCTGGTTACACTTAACTACAGTAGAACATTTTTTTAAAATATATAACTAATTAATTTTTTTTTTTCAAATAGGAAGAAAAAAACTATTATGAAAATGTAAATCTAATGATAGAGAACTGAATATTCACAACCAGATCATATTGACATCATACTGATATGACACTAAATACACACAAAAACGATTCATTATGGAAAAGAAGAAAAATAATTAAAAAGATATATTTTCCAGGGCAAATTTTTTTTAAAATGAACAGATCTCAATTTAAAAATTGAAGAGCTCAATATGCCCAAACTAATCAAAGAACTATTTTTAACAGCATTACTTTGAATTAAATGTAAACACATAAAAGAAAATGTCAACTTTCTAATTTGACTTGAATATTACAATTAATATATATATATATATATATATATATATATATATAATATTCAATATAACAAAAAAAAAATTGTTTTTATTTTTTTTTAAACAAGAATAAGAAAATGTTTATTTTTTTTTTTGCTCATTAAAAAAAAAAAAATATCAATCATGAATCTGATTTGATAGGAAAATTACTGGAGAGATTTTGGACTTAAGAAAAAGATATTAATTGACTTTGTTAACACATTTACTGCAAATGTTCACCTTATGGCATGTTGCATCTGATGCATGTTCTTGCTGTGCTTTTTATTTGGCAATATGAACAGCAACAAGCTCAAATTATTTCTTCATTGCAACAATTTTTTTTATTTTAACAAATGGGATTAAAACTGACTATTTTAAAGCAACATTAAATACTTGAGAAGGATAAAACTTTATGGTAAAACAAAAAAGAAATTCCTATGAAATTTATAATAATGAAAACCCAATTTTGTTTTTTGAAGCTGTTTTCTAGTAAAAAAAAAAAAAAAAAAACTATGATGCATCAGTGTGTAAGAAACAAATGCAAAATACAAAAAGGAAATAACAACCACAATTTTTTGTTCAAAGTGACAAGGAATCACCAGGCACCTGATACAAAAACTGATAAAAGAGAAATTGGCAGAGCTTAAATACAGCTCCAGGATTAAACCACTTTTAACCAGCAAGGATGCTAGGTCTCTTGCACCGGATTTAAATGCAATTAGCTTCTATGAAGATCTAACAAAGGCATCATCACATAAGAAAATATGAAAAGGAACTAGCAGTGAAGATGCACATCAGTGTCAATCTTTATTGTTTAATAAATTTAATTTTACTTACCAAAATAAAGCCTAAGTAGTCTCATATCAGTCAATCAGTTAAGTGCCATACACGATACACATTTAGGCAATCATGTCTCTTTCAATTCATAACTGACAAGACATTCCTACAGTAGGTTGCCAACCAAGGCTATAGAGCCCAGTCTGTACTGCTATTTAACCCATAGCAGGGAGAAGATATGGATCCATACCATTTCCAAGGATATTTGTACATAAGTGAACGTAACAAACCCAGCTGGAATTTGAACTTTGCTCGATGATTTCTCATTCCGAGCTGACATTCATTGCACCACCCGCACATCCTCATATAGTAGTTTCTAATCGTTAAGTAACAAAAACATATGCCATTATGGAAGGGTTGAAATATCCAAGGTAGCAGGAAATGTATCAGATAATAATGCCCAAGAGGACAGGATAAATCCTGCAGTTTATGTATCAGAGTTTGGGAGTGTACTGAAGAGGACATTGAAATAAAAGAAAAAAAGAATATATTTTTTATGATTTAGTAAGAAAATAGGATATTAAATAAATGGCAGCCTTGTTGAATTAAAATTTAATAGATTCAATCATTTTTTACAGATTATCAACCTTTTTGCAGGTTATTTAAAGTCAGAAAATATTTTTAGATTGCAAGATTTTTTTTATTTTTTGAAGATAGTGATGCATGTTTAACTGATTAACCCATAGCAGGGGGTGAAGAGGTGGATTCGTCTTTTCCAAGGGTATTTGCACGCAAGGGAATATAACAAACATAACTGGAATTGGAATTCAGCTCTCTGACTAACAATTCAGTGTCATTATCTATTACACCACCTATACATCCAAGCTTACAGCACCTGGTATTCCCAGGTGGTCAACTGTCTAGGTACTAACCAGGCTCCACGTTGCTTAACTTTGGTGATCCCACGGAGAGCAGTACTTGAACATCAAGTGGTCGCAAGCCAAATTAAAAATGTATCCATACAGAACGTGGAGAAGGTTAGCATCGTAATTAAGTAAACTCAGATCATTGTTTATGACAAAAATTTCTAAATTTATGCATTGTTTCAATCAAGACCAAGCTGGTTACAAAACTTTTGTTTACATTAATTTCATGGCATGTTTGCTTTACATGAAATTCTTATTATCTAAGGTTTTTTACATGATCTTCAAGAACATTTTTTCATATGATCTTGGAGGACGTTTTTCAGAGAAATTCTTAGAAAAATAAAATATAAATTTAGAACAATGTTACAAATATATTGGATTGTCTTCTATCTTTAAATAAAAAGAAAAAAAAATATAGATTTTGATATTAGTAATTTTATTTTCACTCTCCAATTTAAAAATTGAAATCTCTTCTTTGTTTATAAATGAATAATAATAATAATATTGTGAGTAGTAGGAAGAGGAGGGTGACAAGGTGCAGATCATTCAAAGAATCTACCTGAATGGCTTTGGACATAACCACTTGTGTTGACAGTTCCAGAATCTGGATCATTGGGTGGAACAATATTGCCAAGACCATGCACTGGAACACGATGCTAAATAAAAAATAACATAACAAAAATCATTTTCATAATCAAAGTTTGAGGAAAAGGAAAGAAAAAGATCAGAGATTACAGCCATTATGTATTGGCCGATTTGGAAACAGAATTAAGAAAAATTACAGCAAATTATTTGTAAAAAGAATACTTCAAAGTTGTTGCTTTTAAAATTCAATGAAGAGTAAATATTTTGAGTTTTCTTAAGTGACATTTTAGACAATGTTTTTATAAGTTGTAATTTATTGCTTTGAATAAATGAAGCTTCTAATGTTTTGACTGTATCCATGATAAACAGTGTAAATGATAATTTCAACTCAATCATGTTTTTGCAGAAAGAGATAACAAGCTTAAGAAAAAAATTTATACATTTTCTAACCAATAAACAATATCAAATTTTATCATGAAAGTCAATGTTTTCACAAAATTGATACTAAGTAATCAATGTTGGTAACAATTTCAGAATATATTATGCAAATTTCAGTTTATAGCTTTATTTTCTTGTGTTGTTCATCATATTGTAAATAAACACATATAGTTAGTAATATTTATTTTCTAAAAATCAGATATATAACGATTGCCATGGGTCATAAGAAATAAATAACCTCAAAAGAGAACTGATATTGTAAAGTTATTGAAAGATGGGAACAACATTGGGAAATGTAGGAAAAAAAAAAAAAAAGTTGAACAGAGATTAAAAAGAAAATGGCTTTAAGAATATGACAAAAGGAGATCTGAGAAAAATAAAAAGGCTAAGGAAGCAAAGTTGATTGACCAGCAAAACTATATTTGAAGAAGTTGATGTTGCAAATGTAAAAAGAAAGAAAAGAAAATTAAGAACATTGGCTAAAGACATGGAAGCAATCAATTGACCACCTTTAAGTAGACATCACAAAGAGAAATATGTAACTTGAGTGATGAACTTCATCAAGACTGATTTCTCAACAGTAATTTTTATTGATGATGTAGAGCTAAATTGGATGGAGCTGATGTATGGATCAGAAGTTGGGTTCTTTATGTTAATCAATCCAAAAGGACTATTTTGGAAGGGTAGAGTAATGTTTTGGGCTATCATTGTAGGTATTTAAACTATAGGAGGTCCATTCAAAGTTGATGATGGCTTAAGATAATTCTTCTTTGCACTTATTTCAACATTTTATGAGTGCTACAACTAAAAATTATATTCATGCTCATCAATGTTCCTTCACATTCTGCAAAGCTAAATAATACATTATATATATATATATATATATATATATATATAAAAACAGTATCAATATTGACATTTTTGAATTTCACATATACATAATGTAATGTAGATATAACTGCACATGAGAAACAAAATATTGCAAAGTTATTGAGTGATGGGAACACAGTTTTGGAAATTGTGTTCAAGTTGAATAGAAATCAGAGAACAACCAATGGGTCATTCATGTAAGGAGTCAACTGACACAGAAAACCAAGGGAAGGAGGTAGGAAATGTTTTTGGCTAGTATTGTAAGCAATAAAATTATAAGTCACTTGAAAGTTGGCATTAAGATAAATATAGACAATTATTTTAAGTTCTTCAAGGAGCCATGTGTGTGGGGGGGTGTAGAGTTCAAAGCCAAGAAGATTTCAGATAAAGAGGATGTTCATGCAAGACGATTTTTTTTTTTTGTCACAAAAACCTATACTTTTTGTGGTGAATATACATACAAGACAATGTCTTTGCCATATGGATAGACTTTTTTTGCCTATCATGACAAAAAGTTTCAAAGATACCAATAGAATAACTTATCTACAGATACTAGAAAACTCATGGCTTATCATTAAGAGAGATCTGTATAGGAATGGAAAACAATGTCCATTGAAAGATCTCTCTAGGAAGAAATAAAAACTTCTGTAAGTACTGTTGAAGTCAAAACAGTAAAAAAGTTAAAAGATCAAAAAATGAAAACCTGATTAACATTAGAGAATGGCATGGAGGCAGTATTAACATAAATTTAATTTATTTGGATATATGAGGCATTGCGTTAATCAAATATATTTTTCTGGTTTATAGCCTTCGAATTTACTGACAAAAATTTATGTTGTACAGGATGTCCATAAAGTCTGGACATGTAAGAAATCTCACTAACTATATATATAACTTCCACAGATTAAACATGGTTTTGTTGAAAAAAGAAAGAACTGACTTCTTTTTCTGGAGTATGCTAAAAGAGAAGGTGTGCTCAATGAAAATCACAGATGCAACACACTTGATTGAACACACAGAGTGAATGTGCTAAAATTGATGGCAATGTAAAGTTATTACACGGAGTTCATGTGAATCTCGCAAAGTGCATTAACCTGTGCATCACAAATGATGGAAATCATATTGAAGATGTTATTTGTTAATATTCCAACTAAATAAAATGTTTTGAAAATATGCATTTTTTCCCTTGTGTCCAGACTTTGGTACACTGTATAAGTCGAAGCTTACACAAGGTATTGCTCTTACATATATAAATGAAAATTTTTACCAACATCAATTGCTTAAAACCAATTTTATTGTGAAAACATTTTAATAAAATTTGACAATATAGGAACACGAGTATCAAACACTAAATTTTTTCCATTCAAACATAAAAAGGTCATTGAGCTAATAGATCAAAAGAGCCAGCTTAATTAAAATTCACTCATTGATATTTTATTGAATGAAAAAGGGGCATCACATAATCCATTGAATATTTTTAACCAATCAAAACTAATTATTTTCAGTAAAATTCAGCCTTTCTTTGAGCTGCTTCAAGTCATCAACTGGAAGTTCTTAAAATGGGACACAGGAGATAAATTCAAGTGGTATGCAATCAAAGTCTCTGATGCTCTCTAATTTAGGATTAGAGGGTTTGAAATCCTGTCCATTTTAACCTTCACACACTGATACACAAACATTAACCATATTATTGATTATAATACAGAACATCAAATGTGTTAAAAAGTTCATCAAGCTCATTAAATGTATAATGATGTATTCCAATACATTATAATTTAAAATGAAATGTATTAAATTATACATAGTTAAATTCATTTTAAATCATAAATACTATTTGTCTGTTAAAGCAATTGCTCAAGATGATGATGTGTAAGTGGTTGCCAGCTGATGACACAGTACTTCAAATGATTGTCATTCATCTCCTGTCACTGTCCAAAATGCTCTATGAAGGCCTTCAAGATGCTGCTGCTGCTGTAACAGGTAAGTATCGGTTAATCTTGAATTTCACTATAGGAGGAGATATGTTCGTCTATCGCCCAGTTCACACGCCTTCCTAATCTTTCGAACAGAGGTAGAGGTTTATGCCTGGTTTCATGTTTAGGATTGAGTTTCCGATTCCTTCTCCGAAATTCTTCTCATTCTCCTTCACTCCCAGTAGCCCCTTGTGTCTTAGTGGCATTGTCACTTTGCTTGGGGGTGAAATGATTTAAAAAAAAAAAAACACTATGTTACCTTTACATTTCATACCAAATTCTTAAAGAGCATGCCAACAGAGGGGCAAGATGAAAGGGGGGGGGTGCTGGAGGAAATGTTTGAGACACATACTCCAGACTGTAAGATATAAAGAAGCATTAATACTTAAACTAAATTCATGATGTCAAAATTGAACTTGTATTTCCATTAGCAGTGATGGCTTGATCTAAATTCTATATAACAGGGTGGTAAGCTAGGGTCAATGTTTCACTGCATAAAAATGGCTAATGATGATTTGAAGCAAAAATTAAGATTAAACTGTGAGAAAAGTCAAAGAAACTAATTAAGTGTCAAGGAGAAAAAAAAAGAAATAAATTAAAAATAATAATTAGAAGGCATAAAATGAATTTGATGAAGGCTCAAGGAAGATTTGAACCTGAAATAAATCAATTAAAATTCATTAAGATTTAGTAAGACTAATGAAGACATTGCAGCTCAGATTGAGGAATCAGAGAGCTGAGTTCAAATTCCAGCCAAGTTTGTTACATTCACTTATGTTCAGATACCCTTGGGAATTTGATGAATCCAAAAGCTATGGGTAAATAAGACAGACTGGATCTTACAGCCTTGGGTGGCAATTGGTCTGGAAGAAGGACACCACTGAATTCAAAAACCATATGTAGCTCCAGCAAAGCACATACCATGCAGTTAATGAAAGGATTGTGGAGTTTACAATGACTATGACCCTGACTGCAGTCAATTAAAAAGATAATCTTCCAACCTAACCAGTTATCTCTAGGGCAGTATAACAAGATTTATGCCTTTTTTACAATTTCTCAATTTCCAGAGAAGAATTCTCACTGTGTTTATTTAAATTATTACCAACCTCAAAAATGCTTATCTAGTTCAATTTTGGTTATTTTTTCCTTTTTTTTTTTTTTTGTATAAAACATTCCACAAGGGGCTATCTGGTTTTCAAAGATTATAACATAACATGCAGTAAATCAATGTGAGAGGTTTGTGAAATTCTTGTATAAACCAGCCAATACCCAGAGAGAAAGAGACCAGGTGACAAGATAGGTTAAGTCTAGTTTTAATTCCTACTCCTCCAGCTGCTGCTCTGAGGTCTCTCCATTTATTAAAATTACTGCTAGAAAAATTTTCCTGCTGAAATACTGTCAACCAGGCTACATAAAAGATTAATAAGTCTTTACTCCTTATACCAATTAAATCTATGGTTGATATCAACAGAACTTGTTGGTTTGTGCCTTGAAATTAGTTTTCAGCAAAGAAGTTACCAGGGATGCAAGGATTTCACACCTGAAATCTCCACAGAATCACAATGACTACTGGGTGAAATTCATGTAGAATATGGTCATCTCACAGTTTGCTGATGTTGACAATGTCTGTGATGATAAAAAAAAAAAAAAAAAAAAAAAAAACACCACCAAGAAAACTTTGTTTTTGGTAGCGCTGGGATAGAGAATGACAGATTGAAAAAACAAGCAATAGTAGTAACGACCATCTGATCAGCGGGGGCATTATATCGATGTCCTGTCAATTGCCTATTGTTTTTATTTTAGAGCTCATTGATGAATAAGAGACCACATAAGCCAATATGGCTTTATTGAAGGCATCTAACAGAATAATAGTCAAGAGGTTAATCTCACTGACCCACTGCTAGTGAAGAGCTTAATTCTCCTCAAAGACCAAGCTATGCTTCTTTTTTTTTCTTCTTTTTTTTTTTACGTGTAAGCTGACGATAAACAGATGAAATGTTATGGAAAGATAAAATTAATTACTTCAGTGGCATGATTTGCATCATGTTGTTGTTGATTAGGTTGAACAAATTCAGGGGTTGAATGCAAAAATCGATTTGGAAAATCCAACAATAAGCTCACAACTGCAGTATGACCTCCTTTAGCAGCTTCAATTATCATAGTGGAACCATCCTGAAAACAGAAACAAGATAATTTCAAATAACATTTGTGAAGCAAGTGGTAGGAAGAAATTGTCTAATGCACACACACAAGAGCAGTGCTGAGAAGTTCTTGGTTCAGCCAAGAAAAGGTTCAAAATAGTCTGCGGTTTCATAATTTGCTTAGAATTGAGAAATCTGTCAGACAGAAAAACTTTTCAGCATCCCCTTGTATATATTATATTCAAAAGCATCAAATGTAATTTAACCCATATCAATGTTAGGGGCCCAGTTCCAGCAAAGATTTTCATATATGGACAACCACAGTAGAAATTGAAAAAAAAAAAAAAAAAAAAAGTTACATAAAGAAACAATGCAATTTCAAAGTATGGTATGACAAAGTCATACAGTACCAAAGTTTTTAAAGATACTTTGTCCTTAATCAAGTTTAGAATGTTCCTTGAACATTTTTTTTAAATATTTACAGGCAGTGAAAGAAAATCTATGTACATTAAGAAACAATCAAGACTTATTTACATTGTCCTCATTTTTATTGTCATATTCATGATGTTTTGACCGTTGTACACTCCTGCCTTCTTCAGGTGATATACGTTGGAATTTCTAAACTAAACCATAAATAGTTACAGTACTTCATCTCGGAAATATAGACAGAGGTTAATAAGACTAGTAAAACAACAGACAACAACCTGACCAGATAAAAATCAATTATGCCAAATTAATTTATACAATCATAATCAAATCATTTATTTAGAAAAAGGTGTATCAATAAAATAAAACCTAAAAGATATGTTAGCTAATCCAAGATGTTATTGCTATGAAAGCAAAAGAGGATAGCTATGTGGCTACAACTACTAAGAATTTTTGTCTAAATTTCTGAGATGACAAGTTATCATTATTTACCCTATTTATATTTGGATTTTTGTCCTAATCTTTATTTTTATCACATTTCAGCCACTGTACCCTCCAGCCTTTCTCAGGTGTATATCAATCTGGGTAATCTACACCCATTATTTAATCCACAAGGGTAGACTGTCATCGTTCCACTGCTCATGTCCAGGAGTATCTTGTCTAGATCTTATTTTTATTTAGTAATGCTTAGTAAATGCTCACCAGTTTCCATTGTGTGCAAGTACACACTTCCCGGCACAGGGATTGAACTCACAACCACTATGTCATCAAATTCACTAAGAATATAGCAAAAATAATAAAACAAGAATCACAGTAAATGGAGAGAGGGGGGTCAGTTTCTTGCTTTTGTTACAATTTCAGATCACAGCAAAGCAATTTATGAAGAAATCAAAGACTAAAATACAGAAAATCTTTTAAAAAGTTTACATCAGACCAAGAATCCTGCCATATCTGAAATGGTGTTGCCTAGTTGTCACTGTCCAGCCTTGACAGAATTCAAAAGCAATTACATGGCCTTGCAGGTGATGAATTATTCTCCACACTGAAAATCTTTTCCCAAACCCATCTTTAAGTTCAACACGCTGCACATTGTTCCTAAAGTTTCTTTAACCATTCCCACAAAAATTCTGAGGTTTAAAATATTGATTTGGGTAGGCGGCCAAGCTGAGAACTTTTCAATGCCACCATCATTTAAGGGCTATTCTGAGACGAGAAAAAACAAATTACATTAGAACGACTTACTTTTAGCCTGTGAGTAAGGTCTGCTCCACTGTTTAACAACAACTCAACAACTTCAATATGTCCACCAGCACATGCCAAAGAAAGCACTGTGTGATCATTTGTGGAGGTCTGACGATTTACATTGGCCCCTACAAAATGAAAACAAAGAAATATTAAAAATAATGATAACTAGATCAAAAAAATTACACAATAAGTAACAGTGTCTCTTTGTTTGCTTGTTTAATGGCATATCAACTCTGAGTGGGTCATTTAATGCCAAAGCACAGTTGGGGTTTTTTATTTTATGTATTATTATTTTGAAATTAATTTATGTTTATTTTTGTTTTTTTAAAACATTATAGTCTTGTCAAAAGTAGTATTTAGTTTTTGTATTTATAAACAGTACTTATATTAAAAGTTATTTTTTTCAGATTTTGGTAAATAAGTTTCTTTTAAGAATTTAAAAATGTTATCCAGACTGAACTTTGTAAAGAGTTCTTTCAAGTTATTTGTTTGATTTGAATTAAGTTTTTTTTGTATTTATAATTCAATTGATATGAATGAAAATTATTTGCAAAATAGGGAAGGAATTTGTATCTCATTTGCAAATTCCTTTTCTTCCAGAACAACATGTCAAGAAAACTTTAAGAGAACACTCAAAACAATGAAATAAAAAGAATCACAATGTTAGGAAAATTAAATAGCCGTGATTGCTCAGAGAGAAAAAAAAAAAAAGCCTAACCCAAATGTTCACTCAGCTGAGCTTCTCTTATCCCTTCAACTATTATAACAATGTTGAGTTCAAAGGTTTTCATGTATCATTCTTACTTTCTTGATTATTGCATATTTCTTTAGGTTTTATTTTTACTTTATTACATTCTTTTTCAGACAGAGGTAGAAGTAGTGTTTCTACTTTGTCCTTACAAGCTACCATGTGCAAATAACATCTTTAGGACAAATATTGGATTTTAAAGAGAATTTTAAATTTGTTTACATTTATATATAAAATGATGGGGAAAAATAAAAAAAAAATAAAAAATAAAAAAAAAACTTTAAAAATGCATAAAAAGTTTATTAATAAACAAATTAATTTTTCTTTTAATTCAGATTAGCTTTAGGCTATTATCTTTTAAATAGAATCAAAAGATAAATTTAAAGAAGGTATTTAAATTACTTAAAATGTCCAATAAAATAAATTAATAAGGTTTAGTATTTAAAAAAATTGAAACTCTAGAATTTCGGTGTTTACAGACTACCATGTGCAAATTGAACAACTATGAGGACAAACTTAACCCAGACCTCAAAATGATCTATCACTAAAGATACTGGAAAAATGGTCGTTTCTGGATCCTGCTATCCTCTATTGTTACAAGAGCCAAATCAGACCAAAAATGGAATACTGCCACCATATATTGGCAAGAGCTGCCCAGTCTTCATTTTCCTGTCTCAATAGGGTTCAAAAGCATCTCTACATCCTTGTGGGTGATGAATTATTTTCACCTCTACAATCCCTTCATCACAGACAAAACATCACAAGTCTCTTGTTGCTCTATTGTTATTACAATGGAAAGTATTCAGATGAACTACATTCCTTAGTTCCACCAGTCCTAATCTTCATGGCTAAGACATGCCATTATATTGCACCACCCTCATTTCCTCTGTACCCCAATGCCAAGATGTAAGTTCCACTCAAGCAAATTTTTTCCTCATGAACCGCTGCTTTGTGGAACTGACTCCCAAGAAGATTACAATCTTAACCTGTCCAAATCCAGGGTCAACAGTTATCTTCCCCACATATCCTCATAAACTGTGTCTCATACTCTGTAACCTTATACCTCAAGTGGCTCTTGGGCCTTGTACATCATTATAAAAAAAAAAAAGTCTAGTCAACAGTTATATTTCCTATATATAACTAATACATATTTCTTAGCCCCTACTCTTTTCATACGACCTCATTCAGTACATGCACTACTTTAAGTGGCTATCGAGCTTTGTATTAAGTGATCAATTAGTAAAAAAAAAAGAAAAAAAAAAAGCTTAGTTTTTTTTTTTTTTTTTTATTTACCTTATTTAACAACCACAAAACAACCAATAGTTAACATAGGTAAATTATAATACCTACCTTTATTTATCAAAAATTTTACAGTACACAGGTGCCCAGCCCGTGCCGCCTTCATCAAAGGTGTTCGACCACCTTCTGATTCATGTTCCTGTAAAAACAATGATAATTAGATGAAATTTAAAAATAATCTTGTTACAAAAAACACATTCTTCCAAAATCCAAATTTATAATTTTTTTTATTCTTTCTTAGCCATCCTGAAATTCTTATTTAAAAAGAGACAAGGTGAAGTCAGAGAACAGATGGGTGACAAAATACAAAGTCAAAATAATTAGTTTCAGAAACCAATTTTTTTTTAATGCCATGTCTCTTCAGGATGTAGATAACCATAGCTCTCCAAAGATTCTTTTTCTTTATCATCTGCTGTCATGCAGTTTTGGAAAAGTCAAAGGAGTGTTTTCCTGTTACATACTTTACGTTCTGAAATTCTGAGTTTGCCTTCATCTAAACTGGCTGCCAGGCAAGGCTACAGAATCCAATCGACACTGCTATTTAATCCATAGGTGGGAGAGAAGAGACAAATTCATGTCTTTCTTTCCCCAAGAGAATTTAAGCAAAAGTGAATGCAACAGACTAGCTCAAAATTTGAACTCAGCTAACCAAATCTATTTTCTGCACCAAAATCTGTTACACTACTGATAACATCCACATTAGAGCAAAGATAGCATTCACTAGAATTAAAGAAAATGAAAACAAAATTTATGTATTCAAAAATGTTAACCAGCCATAAAGACTGAATCTTTAAAAACAACATTCAAACTTAAAGCATTATTTATCAATTACATATGCTAGCTAAGAAACTAACACAGAAACATTATTAATTAATTAGTTTTGGTTTCTGATTAACCACTCTTCAACAACTATAGGGTTATTTTAGGCCAGATAAAGGTTTTGAATCATCATTGTTTAAGGTATAGCTTGATGTTATATGCGGGTTAGTGAGAGTTTTGCATACAGGCTAGTTGGAGAACAGATTTGTTTTTTTTTTCTTTTTTAATAACTTATTAGAGATGCAGGTTTCTAATAAAATTTATTTTGTATTCAGTTTCTGATACAAGTTGGTTATTAGAGTTGGCATTGTTACCTTCAGTAGGTATATTTATGAAGTTGGATGGTTCTTTTAGGGAGTTGTTACTTACCAGCTTAGCACCAGCACCTAAAAGTACCTCAGCAACATCTGTGTGTCCGTTTTCACAGGCATAAGTTAGTGCAGTATCTCCTGTTGCTGTTTGGGCATGAACGTTGGCCTCTGCAATGACAAAAATTACATTGGGGGAAATTGTTTTGAATATTTAAAAAATAAGAAGAACCACAGGTTGTTAGAATTTTTTTTGTTTGATGTCATATTATCATTAATTTTGATTGCTTTTTCCTCTTTTGTTAAATAAAAACTGGATTGCCACACACAAAATTGAAACAAGTAGCCAGAGTTTAAAAAAAAAAAAAAAAAAATTGAAGAGATTCCCATCTATATGGCACTGTCCCAGTATAGACCCCCAAGAAGAAATGATAAGGGTCTCAGAGGAAACCAAAGCTTAACCTTATTTCTGACACCTTAAAAAAAAAAAAAAAAAAAAAAACTAGCTATTTCAATAAAAACCATCAAGAGAAAACAATATTACAAAAGTTTTATTACACAGGTTCATTAGTAGACAAAGAAATACAAGGAAACAGAAAAGCATGGTTTTAAAAATCATATCCTCAACCGTACCAGTTTAAACTGGTGCCTTCTTTTACCTAAAACTATAATTATAAACTATAAATGAAAATATCAATGTCAAGAAAAAAAGATTTCATCTGAAACCCAAGAAAATATAAACTTTAAGCAAAATGGTTACATCATTAAAACAAAGAGGGAACCAGTTTAAACTGATGCCAGGATATGGTTTCAAATAAAAAGAAAAAAAAAAAAATATCAGTTTGAAGTAGGGAATATAATAAGGAAAAAAATTATTATCATTATTATATTTATGTTTTTTTTTTTTAATTTACCATCATAACACCAAAATTCCCAGGTTTCAAAACTGAAATTCCAATTCAAATATGAAAATTAAACTTAAAATACAAAGTTCCATTATCAAGCGATGCTAGGAATAACTTTAAGAAATTGATTTACTTAATTTATAAGTTCAGACAAACTTGATATTTTGAGATGTTGGGGTTATGGAAAATTCCATCTTTTTCATTTTAGGGGTGTTAAGATTTGACTTATTTAGAAAACTAATGTCTCTAATGCATTGTAGCTATCAAGTTGGTCAAGTCAAAGTGGGGCTGCAGTATCTGTCCACTGACATAAACTTCCTTTTTTCAAGTAGAAATTTGTGGTAGTGTCTGGTTCCAACACATCATCTAGGTTTCAATAGCAATACATTTAGCATTTTTATTTTTTATTTAATTTTTAACTTTACATAAATTTCAATTATGATTTTTTTTTAAAAAAGGGGCATTCAAATATTATTTAGTCACATTTTTAATATTTATATTTTTATTCATATCAAGATATTATATTGAATTTATTTACTAGTTGAGCACATATATGGTAATGTTAAAATGAATATGTTAGAATCTAATTATGCATTCAGAAATAATTTTATTTATGATCAAATATAAATATGTTACTTTTATTTTATAAAACTAGCTATTACTTAAGGAAAAAATTTGGCAATGTCTACAAAAAACTGCTATTTCATTTCTTTGATTTAACAAATTTTTTATTTTTCAGAAATCTCTCTCTCTCTCTCACACACACGTTCTAGTCATATGTCTATCAACATGATTTCTAACTCTACACCTCAAACTACCAGCGGGAGGTAGGTAAATACCAACAATTTTTACTTAGATATAGGATTTAACTTTTTTTCTGAATTTTGTCATGTGATTAATGACATTTCATTTAATCAGCTCATATTACTGAATAAAATCACAAAATTGAAGATATTGAAAAATATACAGCATTTTCTTGAAATTTAAGATTAAGTTTCACAGACTTGATGCAAATACATTTATTTTTTTAAACTGTTTCACCCCAAGCAAGGCAATAATGCCACTAAGACACAAGGGGGGGGGGGGTTACTGACAGTGTGAAGATGTTAATAAGAAAGGACAATAAAAGGACAGGATTCAGGAAAACAGAAAATGACAACTAATGTTGAATTTAAATTTTTGAAGATCATAGGTAGCAGGAAAGCAAGAAACCAAAAGAGAAACTATTAAAATAGAATTTACTGTTACATCTAGCTATCTCAACAGTAAAACAATGAGACCTAGTTGCCAATCTAGTAGTGTTCTTCATGTGATCATGGTACCAAGGACGAGAGCTCATTAGAATTACTGCCATGAAAATATTTACAAAGACAGAGTGAAGCTATATCATGGCAGTGAGAAAATGACTGCAGTCAAGATGCCAGATCAAGACTTATAACATTACAGACACTACTTTGTGAAGATATTCAATGCACAAACAAATGATAAACATGTAAAATGGATTCTGGTGAGAAAAACTGTCTAGCATGACACAGTGAACCAAACTTCCTAGCAACAGACCTAACAATCAATTCAATATAATCACTCCACTTCATGTGGGAAATGTTAATCCAAAAAGGCACAAAGGTTGGTGCTAACCTCTAGGAGGTGAGCCCCAGCCATAGTAATAGAAAGCAAAAATGGTTCTCTATGATGATTACAAGATAGTTTCATTTTGGAAGCGTTAAAATTTACAAGCCATTTCTTGCTCCAGTTAACAACTGATTGGAGGTCATATTCAAGAGCAGCTGCCAGTTTTACTTTATTGAACCTATCAGAGTTACTATTCAAACAGGAGTAAATCGTTATGCCATCATAAGTACCTAATTGGGAACTGATGACATTGGGAAGATTGTTGATGAAGAAAGAACATCAGTCCAAGGAACACTCACATTAATATGAAAGGATCTAGAAATGTAGCCATTCGACACAAGTTTCATTACACAATTTGTTAAGAACAATTGAATTTAAGTCAAATATTCAGCCAGAAATGTCATATTTCTTAATTGCCTGTGTTTGAGTAAACATTTTCACATTCTTTTAAACACACAATTTCTCCAGTAAATCATTTGCACTGCATATTTAGTGTATTTTCTTGTGTATAATACGATTTGAGTATAATATGACCTAATGTTTCTGAAACTAAAATCAGAAAATAAATTACATCCACCAACCTGTGAAATAGCCATCTCTATGTAATTTTTTTTGAATAGTTGTACTATATTACATATATAAAACTAAAATATTTAATTTTCCACAATATTAAATAGAAATGAAGTGGATGTTTAGCCATTGCATGTTTCTTCTAATTTCTGTTTCAAAACTTATTTTCGGGGAAAGATGCTAACTAGACATACATATTAATACATTTTATGGCGTTAATTAATCATACTTTCCTGTTTGATAGAACTTTATCATATTTATGTATATTAATAAACTATGAAAATAAATAAATACCGTCTTTCACTAAGAATGAAGAGAGAAAACTTTATTAAAAAAAATAAACAAACTTATCTTGTGGGCAAAACTGAATGTATTTGCAATTTTACTGTTTCAAATAAGGTTTTTAAACAGAGTAAAAATTTCTGAAAACCTTTGTTTATAATGGAACCTTCTCTTTTTTTGCCTTTATTTTCATTCAACATTTTCTCGTTATGTTCAAGAAAATACAGTAAATCGCCATTTTATACTGACATTTAATTTTTGAACATTTTTTTTTTCCCCCATCTACTTTTTGAAATGAATAAAAATTTCATTGAAACAACTCCAGCAATTGGAATCAACCATAGGAAGGAAAAATTTACCATTTGTCAAAAGGTAGCTAACCAAGTCTAAGTGGCCTTCTTGTGCAGCTTCCATAAGAGGAGTGCTACAGCCAAGTTCAATGTCTGCACCAGCCTTAATAAGAAAGTCTGCTACTTCAAGAAAACCACCACAGCAAGCCAAGGTTAGAGCTGTCTCTTGAGTCTCTTCTGTTTGGGCATTTATATCAGCACCTGCAAAGAAAATTAAATAAAAAAAAAAAAAAAAAAAAAAAAAAAAAAAAAAAATAAAAATATATTAAGCTTTTGTTAAACCTTCAAACATCTTAAAAATAAATCAGAGAAAACATTTTCTAATAGCAATCTAAATTCTCTATACTATAAACAAAGTAAAATGTCCATGAGGTTCAGTATAGATTTTTCAAAACCTGTTCCAGAATTTCACTAATTAATAATTTCAGCCAGACCAACATAATGAATAAAATGACTTTTCCTGCATATTTTTTTTTTGATTTTATGTCCATAACTTCCTCATGTTAAAGCAAACAAAATTAACAGATGTTTGAATAAGGGGTGGATTCAGATAAGGTAAACAAACTGCTTAATTGATTTCTTTTTAAAAGCTTATCAATATTTTACAGGTTATTTAAAACCAGAAAATATTTACATTGCAGGAATTTTTGGGAGATAATGATTTACTGACAGATGTCCTACTAATTAACTCATACTTGGGGGGTAAGAAGAGGTGGATTCATACCTTTACTCAAAAAAGATAATGAACCTGATTGAAATTGGAACCTGGTTCTCTGATTTCCAATTCTAAGCCATCTAGGTACTGACCAGGCTCAATGTTGCTTAACTTTAGTGTTCGTATGAGAACCAGTGTTTCATCTAACTGGAATTGGTGAATTCTATACTTACATATCTCTCCATCGCAATTTATTTTATGAAAATCAGAACTGTGAAGCTAGTAAAGTCACTAAGTAAATATTCTTAAAGAGCCCAGTTGCATTTTCTACTTGTTTTTCCTATATATATATATATATATATATATAAATAAACCTAAAAGCTTTCAAATCCACAAGCACACCTCCAAAGGAAAGGCACGCGCGCGCACATACAATTCACCGCAATAATCCAATTGTAAAGTTTTGTAATATCAACAAATACTCATTGCCACTTTAATAATGCTTGTTGCAGTAGAGACTTTGTAATTGCAGATACAACTATAGTAATGCTGTTGAGCAATACTGGTGTCTGACACCTTGAAATATCACTTGCACTAATAGTACTTGCTTGATAATATCCGCTTGAATAGTAACTACCAAATAGTGATCCATATAATAACTCGCTTACGCAGCATGCTAATTCCCATGTATACATTTTCTTTACCATCACGAGATCTACTTATTAAAAATGGGATCGCCTGTGTTTGCTCTCTGGTGACCAGTGTTCAAACTCCAGTGTCGGCAGTGACACTTTATTCCTATATACCAAAGTGGGAATTTCACTCTAACAGTTTTTTTTTAACCAAAGAAATTCTTCTTTGTGGATCAAATTCCACACAGTAACTTCCTTGAACACAACAATCTTAACTTAAAATCAATCATTCTTATCCTCATATCTTTATTCTACTACCAACTTTTTTTTTTTTTTTTTTTACACATACTGGAATGATTTTGAGACATGTTTGCAGGGACAAGAAATGCTGGGTAAATAAAGATTATAAATCCCTGATTAACATACATATAGCTGAATTGCAATATTCTCAAATTTGCATCCCTGATAAATTGATAATGAATTCCAAATAATTTGGATCTAATTTCAATTCACACTGTAATATTTTCATATAGAAAAGCATTCTATCTTTGTAATGATGTAAATTTTGGCAAAATTCAGTTATAGACATTGGTGAAAACTAATAAAAAAAGTCCAAGAAATAAAAAAAAATTTTAAATATTGGATAATTGAATACTGAACTGAATGTTGAATAAAGGATGTAAGTTAGGTGCAAACATGCACACTAAAAGAATAATGATTTTAAATTATAATAAAGTGTTGAATAATGAATATATTTTAATTATAAAAAGAAAAAAGTTCTTAAACTAATTACTGCAATTTTTATATTTTGTTCAATTAGTTGCAACTAATTAATCATGCTAATCAGATATGAAATAAATACAGGTCTTGTTAAAAGTAGAGTTAGATTTCTGTTTTTATGGCTGTCAGTTGATTTGAGTGTTTGCCATTTGTATTACAGTGTACAAGATAGAAGTCAATAAAAGATATGATTAATTTTTTTTTTTTTTTTTTTTAAAAAAAAAAAGGAGCTGTACCAAACTATTTTACTTGCAATGTAAAAATTGCCCCTCCCTTGTGATCAATACACAATGGCAACAAGGCTGACACAGAGTAGCCTACACTTGCAGGGTTTGATTTTATATTCATAAACTTAAATCTAATAGAGATTTGAGCCTTCAATTTCTGAATGATAGAAGGCAAAAGAAAAAAGAAAGAAAAAAAAAAAAAAAAAAAGAAGCGAAGTGGAGAAGAGAGAGAGAAAAAGGGGGGTTAAGTAGTTAATGCCACTTGTGTGTCACTTGATACCAAGAGCAGATAAGCAAGTGGAAAATGGTTTACATACCATGAGCTAACAAGAGAGCAACCATTTCTTCATGACCTTCACGAGCCGCTTCCATAAGTGGGGTATAACCTTCATCATTCACTTCTTCAAGATTTGCTCCTCTCTCAATGAGAAGGTTGGCTAATTCAACATGTCCTCCACAGGCAGCCAATGTCAAAGGTGATTCGAAACTGTCTGCAGGCATATTTACCTGAAATTAGCAAAAATAAACAAATAGAAGAGGTGAAGAAAAAAAAAAAAAAAAAAAAAAAAAAAAGAAAAAAAACACACACACACACACACCCTGGACAAATGACTATGACCTTGGTTCAAAGTCATTATTTGTGGAGTGTGGGTGTGAAGGAGTTATAACAAAAATGATGTATACACAAGAACCCCTAAAACTAACACTGCTTAAATAAAATAAAATAAAAATCAGATTATAGGACAGACTGAAAATATCCTATTCTCATAAATCCTAATTATCTTTTTAAGGAATTTTTATATAAGCAAAAAAGGTTTTGCTTTTTTTTTTTTCTAAATCAATTCACCCCCAACTAGGCAATAATGCCACTGATGGAAGGGACTACTGGGAATGAAAGCGAATGAGAAGACCTTAGAAGGAAACAGAAGCCCAATCCTCAATAGGGAACAAAGAATAAACCTCTGCTCCTGTTCAAAAAAACAAGGAGTGTGAACCAAACAACAGGTAAATCTATCTAATCTTACTGAGGAAAGATAAAAAATAGTAAATAAAATTTCAGAGTTTAAGCACAGACATTAGGAGTGTAGACTTTAGAAGGAATCAGAAACTCAATCATTAACAAGGGAGAAACATTCAAAAGACAGGGAAGGTGGGGGGAGGTGAACGAGATGATAGACAAATCTATCTTCATGAAGGTAGAGACTTCCAATGGTTCAATGAACTAGTTCATTTAAGAAATAAGGACATTCAATTTCAAAATTCTGACAGAATGAGAAAATAAAAAATTTCTGATAATTATTACAAAATCAATCCTATTTTTTCATTTACCTGTTTAATAATTCTTGTTTAAATATTACCACATAAGCATCAGAAATATATATATATATTTTTTTTAAATGGCTGGATGAACATCCCAAAGAAACAATAGGATATCTTACAAAATCCAAGGCATTTCACAGAAATGTTTGATTTATTTTTCTAATAGAGAGTTGATTAGAAGTCATTTGTAAGAATAAACTTATAAAGACAAAAAAATCATGTGCAGAAATTTTTTTTTTAGTAACCTCTACTTACACACAGAGGTAACTTGAAAAAAAAAATGAGTTTTTAAATTTTGAATTTGACTGTAAGGAAAGGTAAACTATGGAGAATGCTATGTAAATTTTTGGCTTTTGAAAATTCCGTTCCCTACCTACCTACCTTATTTGAATTCTGACTTCCATGTATAAAATATGTGGAACAATCAGAGATGCTTTTTTCATTAGCATCAAACTAACTGATAAATTGGCACTTTGCTAAGAACAAAACATTTTTCTCCTAGTTTCATTTCTGAATAATCGTAAAATAATATTAAACATGATGTTCTCTTAACTTTAGAATTTGACACTTGAAATTTTTAATTTAACTGTTAACTTAAATTTTAATTTTTATATTGATTTCTAATTGAATCTAATCTTAACTTTAATGCACTAATAGATTGTACTTATACTAGTGTATGTTGTCATGTTACTTTAAATTACCATATACTTGTATTCTGATCATAGGTTACATAACAATGTTTACCCTACAGAGCTTTTGAACTCTTAAAACAGTTTATTTTCCATTCAACACCATCACATAAGACACCAGAAGTGCCGAAACAGAATTATAACTTTTGTAGTGATTCTATAACATGCACAAGTTATAAATTTGAATAAATACTATTAGCACTTTTCGTATTGAGCACTCTAAGAATAGTGTTTATGGTTATTAGAATTTTATTCCATAAGTACCAACCCTGTAATTCTGTGTGTGTGTGTGTAACATATTTGGCCTAAAACACCCGATGATACAGAAAGGTTGAGACCAAGGTAGTGTGACTGGCTGAGTATTTAGAAAAATGACAAATTGGAAAATTTCTCATGATACGTTTCATCTGTTAGCCCAGTCCAATGAAATCCTAACAGATGAAATGCAGCACAAGAAATTTTCTAGTTTGTCATTATATATATCTAAGAAAAAAGAATAAAAGAAAGCCAGGAATACAACTTGAAATCTATCTACGAAGGGAAAACTGAAAATTGTAGACTTCATGAATAGGAATGGCTTAATAAACAAAAGGAATTAAATTATTTCTAACTCAGTACACAGGCAAATTCTTTTGAAAAATGTGATAATAAAAAAAAAAAAAAAAAAAAAAAAAAAAAAACTAGAGATTGAGAGCATCCAAAAGAAAAATACCCATTTTGAAAATTGCACAGCGTGAAACAATCTGCTAATGAGTAAATAATCAAAAACTTATTTTTATACGTAATTTTTAAGTTGTAACGAAACAATTATCTAACAAAAATTAGAGATAGTAGCCAACGAGTGCAATGATCATCTCAGAATAGGTTTTTGTGAGAAAGGTAGTAGCAGTATATTAGTCATCTAAAAGTAGGATTAGTAAAACTTAACTTCTTTACACTATTTACATGTAGACTATTGTCCTCATCTTTGTTGTAATCACATCACTTTGGCTGTTGCAAAGAATTCTGAACTGAGCCCTTTATTTAATTTATGGCATAAACTACCTTGTTTCACTACCTATGTCTAGGGATATTGCATCTAGTTCTTATTTTTAGTACTGCTCACTTATTTCTCGTCCCATTTTAAGAGTCCAAGTACACACTACTTTTCCCATTACTATGTCACCAAATTCCCAAACCAAGACTTTAATCCACGAGGCTATTGTGAAGGCAGCAGGGCACAATGGCCAAAATGTGATAAGGACAATAGTGTAAATAATGGAAACTCCTCATCCCAGAAATTCAGACAGAAATTAAATGAACTAACATAGAGAAAAAAAAATTCCAAGTGATGCAAACCACCATTTATAAATGCAGTCTTATTTGAGTTTTCATACATACATACACACACACACACACACACACACACACACAATGAATAAAATATTAAGAACATCATCAAGTAAATCCTAAGATCTGCTGTTGCATTATGTTCATATTTATATAAATTGACCAAACAGGATTCAAATCAAATATGTAAAGCATTTTAAAGAGACTTTAAAATATAAACTTCCATGGTGTAGTAAATAAAACCAAGGAAAGAAAAAGAGGGGATGGGCTAACGAGCATTACCTGAGCCCCACTGTCAAGCAATAGCTTTGCTACTTCAACATGCCCATCCATAGATGCTTCCATTAAAGCTGTGTGCATCTCATCAGTTTTGTGTTCCTGATCAGCACCAGCTTCTAGAAGAAAACGAACCATTTCCAAATGACCTGGCAAGAAAAAAAAAAACATTTGTTTTTTTTAAAAAAAAAAAAAAAAAAAAAAAAGAAACAGTAAGGAGCATATAAACAACTTAAGAGATATCAAATGCTTGTAATTATGACAAAGAAAAAAAAAATTAAATATACTTGAGCATAATATACATTTTTAGGATCAGCTTTTTTTTTTAACACAAAAAAAAAAAAAAAAAAAAATAGGAGGTTGCACTATACACAGGAGATTTTTTGAAGAAGTTAAAAATCATGCATTTTTGGTGACTGGTTGTGCCAGGTAAGTTTTTCTGGAGGGGGTTAAAATTCCTGCAAAAAAAAAATTCCGGGGGGGCACTATACATAGTTTCCTTATGCACAAGTATATACAGTACTACTCCAACATTTATCAAATACATTATACAGGTTAAATAAATAAATAAATAATTGATAAGTTTAGAAAGATTCATTATATATGTTTACAATTTCAAGGAGTGGTGTGATCCAAAAGTTTTTTTTTTTTTTTTTAATGAATCTTAAATTTACATCAATATATTAATGCAAGGTTCCTTGCCTAATCACAGAATTACATTTCTTGCTTTCCTTGAAATTTCCAATTTTGGAACACTAAATAGACATATAGTAAGTGCTAAGCACAACTAAAAATATGAATGGACAAGAAAAATGCATTTTTATTGAAATTTTACTAATCTTAGAAAAGAACATATTACATTAATAATGATCTGCATTTATTTCCAAACAATTTTCATTTTAAAAATGAATAATAGGTATCCCAAACTAAAATTTTATTTTTAATCTAAAAACTTTTAATACAAAGAGCTTGACAAAAAAAAAAAAAAAAAAAAAAAAAAAAAACTAAATTTATCTTAGTAGTTCAATTGGCAAACAAGGTTATAACCAAAGATGTTAATTTTCCATTGCATGCATTATTGTGGCAGAAGCCAAATTTAACAGCGTATAAGATGCATGTTTCAAACAACGAAGACATTATAAATGTTATGTCATATAGGGTAGTTGTTATAAAGATAATACTAATGGAATCAATAATTATTAAATCGAACTGGTCTAAACATTGGGAAAAAATTGTGTTCTCAAAAATTAACTAGTTAAAAAAGTGACAGAAGGGCAATTCTGGCAGCTCATAAGTTTCATTCCAACAGTTAATGCCTTGCAACTTTTTGATACAACTCATAGTACAACAAACATGAAGCTATTTTTTCAGTAGTATGTCAATAAATAAACTTTAAAGTTTAAAACAGCCAGGAGCATAATTTGACAGTAAGACAAAAACAGCATCCAAATAATTCAAATATAATGAACATGCCATAAAAAAAAGCATCCATTGGGAGGTACAAGTCTGAAACTTTAAAACTTTACTAATTTTGGGATGAGGAATTCAACAAAACAGCTCTTCTCTCTGTAATATGAACACCTTTTGTCATAGATGTACCTAATTTCAGAGAATTGTCAAATTATGAAATCTATAACTTGTCAAAAAGGGATAGTATCAACTACAAAACTTTGAAATATGTTTCAGGAAAATTAATCATTGGTGGATCCTTTAAACTAATTTATTTTCAAACTAACAAAACCAAAATGAATAAATATACAATTATTGGAACAGATTAAAAAACAAAAAAAAAAAACAAAAAGACTTTAGACAGTTGGAATGCTTCTTCTGCATTTCCTCTTTTAATGGTGATTTGCAGTCTGAATTTGTTTAATGAGCCTCTGCTATGGCCAGTATTCCTGGAACACTCCATATCCTATTATCACTTGAAACTAATATTATATCAAAGTCAAAAAAAAAAAAAAAAAAAACAAATCTTGATGCCAGTTGTGCAATATCATCCAAGAAAGACTATATAAAAAAAAAATAAATAAAAAAATAATAATCATTTCTTCCTGGACAGAAATGCAGTATCAGTGACATGGTCAATGTAAAAGTCGGATGTATACTGCAAACTGTTGACCTTGGCACTTGTAACTGAAGGTCATTTGAATTTGCTCTTCATCACAAATGCTACTCAGATTAATGGAGTGTCTTTTCTCTTCCTTTGTCCGTTTAGAGGTGAAGATGAAATCCCATTAAAAGTTATATCACTTTAATTTTTATTTCTTTCATCACACAGGTTTTAACTTTATTAGCATACATCACAAGGAATTCGAGGGTCCTCAGTCTGCACCTCACACTTAGGGGAAAAAAAAAAAAAAAAAAAAAACACTACTTTTAAGGTGATGGAGTTCATCATCCACTGAACAGAAGATTAAAAGGAAATTTTATTAAACACAAATAGAAGAAATAATACATAAAAAAAAAATAAAAAGATGAACAGATACCCACTTAAAAAGAAAAAGATGTTATGCTTATTATAGGCACCTCCACAAAATTTTTAATACCTTTTAATGAAATAGCATTCTTGAAGCCTTCATTTTAACTTTACTTGAAAACTAAATGATTAAATTTACTATTTCCAGTAAGCAAAATACTCTGGTGTATTTCAAATGGAAATTATATCAATTGCAACCTCAACTGTTTGGTCACTTTCACACAATCAGCCATTTTTGACACATCTGTAAACAAAAGTTAACTTAAAAATCTTCCAAAAATAAAATGTACTTTTCTGAAACTTTTGAGGAATAGCTGATTTAAAGTATAATTAATCTGATTTGAAAAAAAAATATTATTTAAGTTTGAAATAACAGAGGAATGGATTTTTAAAACACACAGTAGCAGTGATTACACACTTATCACCATTGCTTGTCACCCAGGGATCACTTAAGTGATGATAAAATCTGTCAGCACTTTTACTGCTGTTTAACAGAGACTATCTGTTAAAAACATAATTTAAGAAAATGACAGGTGAGCGCCTTTTTTATAAATTTTTAAGTACTCTGTAATCTTAAAAATGTTGGAAAATATTCTACATAATCTAATTTTAGGAGAAATGTTGAATTTTTACTATAGTCATCACTGTTATTTTCTGATTATGTCGTATATGGCCAACCATACTTTTAAACAGGAGCTAGCTATGTAATTATATATATATATATATATATATATATATATATATATATATATTTTTAAATATTTAATGTAAACAACTGTTATTGAACTTTTCAATTTTTGATTTGTGTGTCTTAATTTCATAGTTGTGTTGTCATATCCTGCTATGGCAACAGAAAAGATGTTTGAGTGAAATTAACAAGGATGCTGCAATTGAGAAACCTTGAAAAAGAATGCAGTGGAAAGGGAAGTAATATTAATAATGCAGAGTGCTAAAGATTAAAAAGATACAAAGAGTAAAAACAACAGTGTTTCTTTTTCTTTCAACCAATTTTCTTTTCAATTTTCTTCAGATTTCTTACTTACCCTTTAACTTTCCTCCTTAAATCCACCATCTTGTTTCTTCCTTTTTGAGGTTATGTGAAAATGAACAGCAAGGCTGTTAATGACCATATAGTGTGTAACACTATTTATAAAGTGCAATTATTATGCTGATCCAAGGCTGGAGTTCAATCCCTGTGTAAATAATCCAGCCATTTTTCTTCCCTTGATGGTACTATGCAGCAAAACCTCAATTTAAAGAATTGGAGATAGAGATTGTTCCTTAAGTTTGATAAATCTCTTATTTAGTAAAGAAGAAACAAGTTCCATGAAGTTAATCTTTTACAATAAACAAGTGACCTTGGCTGCACACATTAAACCTGAAACATTAAGACGAGTGTTTCAATCACTTTCTCTAACATAAACGGTTGCCAAGTAGAATTTGTTATTTATAGTGAAAGCTGCCTTTAAAAATAGCCAAAATCAAGACTTTCCATTTCCAGCTAACTTGATAGCCTACAAGTTTGTACAAAGTAACTTAACACAAACTCAATGAACGATTTGTTGTAACATTTATCTAACTTCACTCAAAGTCAGTTTGTTATGGCCCATGTGATCCACAAGTAGTTCTTTAAATCAGGATGTTAAATCAAGGTTTTTTTCTGTACTAGTTTTAATAAACTGATACAGTTTGAAATACTGCCTTCAAACACCTTCAAAATTGTTATTTTCACAGGTAAACTTTCATTCTCCACCAATACAGGTTTGATATTTTGATAATAAAAATTACAAGTTCAAATTAATTCTTGAAGAGAAAAAAAAAAAATTTGTATCCAAAATACACTGAAGTGGAATTCATTTAAAATATGAAATTGGATTGATTTGTTCTCTACAGCTTATCAACTCTTTGCAGATTATTTAAAGCCAGAAAATATCACTTACCCATAGTCGGTGGGTGAAGAAAATGAGTCATAGCTTGTCCAAGGGTATTAGTACATAAGTGAATATAATGAACCCAACATGAATTGGAACTCGACTCTCCAATTAACAATTCCAAGCCATTATCCATTACACCATCTGCACATCCAATCTTAAAGCACATGGTATTGCCAAGCAATCATCCATCTAGTTACTGACCAGGCTCGATGGTGCTTAACTGTGGCCATAAGTCTATGGAATTGGAAAATTCAGGTTAATCATTAGGCAGACATCAAGAAACTCACCTTTGTAACAGGCCAATGTGAGTGCACTTTCTTTGAATTCATTGGAATGAGTATTTATGCCGGCACCTGCATCTAATAAGATTTTAGCAACTCCAACATGGCCTGCACTGGCTGCCTCCATTAAAGGAGTGTGACCATTTTCATTGTGAACTTCAACATTGGCACCGGATTCAATTAATACTATCACAACATCCTCAAAGCCCCCACAGGCTGCATAGTGAAGAGGTGTGTTTCCTGGAAGAAAAAGAAAAAAAAACAAATACAGGTGTGAATAAATTTAAACAATTTTAAAGTTTCTAGAATTTTCTTGCATATAGACAGACAAAAATTGCCTTATGAACCAGGTTTGAAAAATGTCAATACTGAAGAAAAGTCAGTCAGTTAAGTGCCATTAGTGATGTGTGAACAATCATGTCTCTTTCAATTCATGCCAACCAAGGATATAGAATCCAGTCTGTCCTGCTGTTCAACCCATAGCTAGGGGGAGAAGAAATGGATTTATACCTTTCTCAAGAGAATTTGCATATAAGTGAATGTAATGAACCCAAATGGAATTCAGACTCAGGACTCGGATTTCTCATTTGAAGCCATTATCTATAAACACCCCATTGCACATGGAGAAAAGGGTGTAAAAATAATCACTGTTAAATGTTTCTTTGAAACAAAAACTGAAGGATATTTCAAATATATTTGCCAGCATGACAAAACCCACCTGGGAGTGGTCAACAAAATATTTCATAAGAATTTCCTTCATCACAGCCTTGCAGTGAAATAGACAAGGAAGAATCAAGACAATTCACAGATGGTAAGGAAGGCATTGAAAACACTGATTCTGAAGCAGTTGACAAGATATTTTTATGATGTTTTGGTGAAATACCTAAGATTATTAAATAAAAGAAAAAAAAAAAAGGCAAAAACTGGTGGGGTATAAAGACACAGACAACTTTTTTTGTTATTAAAAGTAAAAAAATTAAAAAAATTCTATTACTTCTACCAACAAAAGTTAAAGATGGCCTATTTGACTATATCAGCAAGAATTAAAGATTTTTTTTTTTTTTTTTTAAGCAAAGCATTAAAAGACAGGTTCTTTAATGCAAACTAATTTTTTTTAAAAATGTTATGACAGTATGAATGTGTACCCATGTGGCACGTGTTTAGGAGGAGGTGTCAAAATGTTCTTAGCTCACTGCTCCCCAACACTACTGAAGAAAGAAAAAAAAAAAAAAAAAAAAAAAAAAAAAATATTTCAATCACCAAATAGAATAGTTATTTTAGGAAGAAGACTGGGTGCCTCATTACCAACACTTTTGGAATTTAGGAAAAAAAAAAAAAAAAAAATGGGACAAGTTTCCATTTCGATTCGAATCTTCAATTGAAACTAGTTTTTCACTAAGTATCAATAATTAATTACCGATACATTTGCAATTTCTCAGTGAATTAACATTTAAAATGAGAAACCAGAACCACTGCCAAAACTCAAATTCAAGAAGACATACCAAATACAACAGGTCATCTAATAACTACAGCAAAAGCAATATATATATATATATATAGCCACACACAATTTTCATTAAAGATGACTGACAAAGTACTTCAATTAAGCCTTTAGTCAATTTTTGTGTTCATACAAGGAAATTAAGTTAAACAATTAACTTGTACAAAAAAAGGGATTGCTGCCTAAATATACAATTATATATAAACTTACCAGCTGATGACTGGGCATTAACATCTGCTCCATGTGTTATAAGTAATTTTGCTATATCCACAAAACCTCCACTTGAGGCTTCCATCAAAGGGGTACAATCACCCTTAATTCCTCTGTCTTCGACATTAGCTTTCATAACCAGTAAAACCTGTGCAAATAGATACAGAATAAAAAATAAAATTAAATTGATGCCATGTGTTTCGGCAACTATTTTTTGTTTCTCTTTAATTGCTTTTCAAAGCAGAAAAAAAGAGGATTAGAATCAGTCAAATATTTTGTCGGATGAACCAATTTCATATTCGTCTGTTTTTGTTTTCTCCTTTATTTCTTAAAAGAAACATTTTAAAGCAAGAGATGTACACATATGCAAATCAAGTACACGAGTAAATTATTATTATGTACTCCCATCTATCCGGGGGGAGGGGCATTTTTCTCTTGGATATGGGAGGTGGGTAAGAAGTCAGTTTAAGCAAATGACAAGATATAGATTAAATAGAGATAAAGAAAAGAAAAAAAGTTGCTGGCAAGGCATCTATATGATATTTATTGTCTACAAACTAAATTTGTTCAGGTGTGCTAACTTTATCCCATAATAATTTGGGTATACATCCCATAAATTAAATCCAACAACTATTATGCTGCAGGAGTAGTATGTCTTTCTAAAATTCTTACCTGTGCCAATTCATAATATCCTGCAGAGCATGCAAGGGATAGCAAACTCTCCCCCTCTTCTGTTGTTTCGTGTACACTGCTTCCTTCTTGTAACATCTTTTTCACTGCAGGCACATCTCCATCACTGCATGCTTCGGCTAAAGATCGAGTGCTGCAAAGAACAAAAACAATTTTGTTGGAAAATTGGTGTCAAGTGTTTTTAAATATATAATAATTCAATGGATGCTTAATCTATTCAGATTAAGAGTTTCCAAATAAAATCCACCCCCACCAATAACACAACATATCTCCCAAGATTTATATCCAAAGTTGAGATATCTGGTAGGGTAATGAATATTCAGATGCCATAGGCTACTAGTACCCAGCCTAACTCCATAATACTGTAATAATAGAGAGAGATTTATATGCAAAGTTGAGGTATCTGGTAGGTTAATGTTTACCCAGATGTCATAGACTACCAATAGTTGTACTTAGCCTAACCTATAATAGGTAGGCATTTGTTTATCTCACAAGATAATGGTAATGTTTGGTTTGATCAAAATTCAATCCTTTGGTTGTGAGGCAATATGCTGACCAGACCACATATACATCTCCCCCAGAAATACCAACAAGATCCAAAGGAATACAGGGCATTACATTTGGAGACAGCAGGGCAGCTAAAGTTGCCTGAAGACTGTAAGTGCTGACAGGGGCTCCACTCCAGATTTTCTATATGAACATACTTATAAGACACCAGTGGCCCTTCTTCACCTTTTTTCCAGTTTGGGGCCAGACTTAATTATCAGAGGTTACACATGTCATGAAAATCATTTTATAGACAATGAGAGTTTGTACAAAGTACCACTCTGGCCTAAGATAACCTTTGAAACAAATATAATGTACATATAGAAGTAATACATACATTACATATTTTAGAAGCTCCCTGAAAATTAACTTCATAATACTGTAATGTTAAATGTAATGCTGGGAGGGGGTCTTATATGGCATGAAATGCAAATCATACAGAACAATTCCTTATTAGTATTAGTAATAATCACAACTGATCCTTAATCTTCATACACCAGCGTCAAAATAATTTTGAGACTTGTTGAAATAAAACATTTAAGTAAATTAACTATTAAAAATGAAAAATTCCTGCATTTTTTAAAATCTCTCAGCTGTTTACATCTACAAAGCATAATTTCCATAATTTTAAAAGATTTTAAAGAAGTCATTTATTATAATGTGGGGGGGTGGGGCTATTCTAAACAATTTACTTCAAACGAAAAATTATGATTTCAAGTTAACAAAAATGGTTCTAATTTTGATATCCTTTGTTTAATGTTACCAGCACATTGTTTTCTAAAAGACCCTGTTGCAAAATGATCACAATAAACAACTTCCTCCATCCATACCAAACTTTCTGCTAGTTGTTGTTTCAAGTAATTGGAATTCTTAAGCTACCATCCAAGCAAAAAAAAAAAAAAAAAAAAAAAAAAACCACGGTTTCACGATACTTCAGCATTTCAAAATTAATGACCTAAACAGTGATCACTTTGCTTTTTTACGACTTATCAACGCTGTGGATAATTTAAAGCCCAAATATTTTGGATTGTAAGAATAATTCTAAATGTCTGTGTGTGCTCATGCATGCAACTGCTGATACCTTAAGATGAGTGGAACAAATGATTACAAAAAGGTTTGTCTATGAAACTCTGAAGTTGGGGTGCTGAATACAACATTAATCAGCTAAGTGGCAAAATTCATATTAATCCTGTATACATATAACTTAAAAGCGTAAATCTGTCAGATCAATAAATAAAAAAAAATCCATTACTTTAGAAACTGCTTTGTTTACATTAGGACATGAAACTGAGCAGATATGAATGTTTTCAATGTCAGAGAAAGATTTGCATTTATAAAAGCACTATTTGACTACTTCGTTGGAGACACACTATGCTTAAGTTGGGATAAGCACATCACATCTAACAGGAGACAAGTTCAAATCCTGCCAGAGAGTACATATTTTTCTCAAATATTCAGGCCGGAAGATGAAAATAAATAAATATACTGTTTAATAAATAAACAGTGTCTACTCAAATATGGGTAGACACTAAAAATAATCTTTAATATATTCATTCATTCTCTCTCAACAGCAACATGTTTAAGCTCTTACTATAGATGTGCCATAAAGCATTTTAATTACTTTTTTTTTTTTATTGACAACCCATTAAAATTGGGGTTCTGCTTACCCCCACCCACCCAATGGACACAAAAAAGCAATCTATTAGCGTAAACAATAAACTACCATTGACTTTCCCAACCATTACCTACATTTTTTTGTGGGTAATATTAAAGTATAAATGAAATGGTATAAATAAAGTTAAAATGGCAGCCAACTTTGATCTTCAAATATTTTAATGCAATGTCAATCGTTATCTGCCTTCTTAATTCATGTTCTTTCATTGTTTTCTTTCGTTAAGTTTTTTTTTCCTCAGACTCTCTAGCACTCAGTAACACTGTACCTTAGTGGTTTTACTGCCTTGCTTTAAGTGATTAAAAAGAAAAAAAAACTATCATTAATGTTTTAATGGGGTTTCTTTGAAACCAAATAACCAAAAGGGATACCCATTTTAGAGACATTAAACTTTGTAGAGAGAAAAACTAATTTTTCCAAAATTAAAAGTAACACCCTTTTCTATAATCAAAGGGGTAGAACAGATTGCTGGTGTACCCCAAATAAGCTATATTAGGGAAAAGGTCATGGCCATTTCAAGACAATCATCCTCTTTTTTTTTTTTAGGCAAAGCAACATAGACCTTGCCTAAAAGTTTATTGTTGTCTACTGTTAACACAAACACAATAACGTTTTAGCCATAGATTCTGCAAGAGGTGTGCAGGTGGAGTAATGGTTAATATTACTGAAAATGGATTTAGCAAACTGTTCAATTTCAAATTGAAAGGGGCATACATCCACCGCCTTTTCCAAATTATGGATTAAAATAACAAGGTGCACTGGGATGTCTAGCCTCAGTTGGCAACCAAACTAGATGAAACCCTTAATTTAAAACTGGGGAAGACAATGAGAAGCAACTCTACTCCCCTCCCACAAGAACAATCATGATTGCCTACACTGTATTGGAATATAGAACTTAGAGACTTTCTTCTCCCCTCCATATTTCATTTTCTAATGAAGCTTAAGGGAAATACGTTAAATCTATGTCTCCTATTTGTTCAGTCAGATTTGAATCCATATTTGAGATGGATATATATATATATATATATATATATATATATCTCCCATATATACTTGCGTATCATGTGACAATTGAAGACCTAATTTTAAGGGGTCACATTATACTCTAGAAATAAAATTAACGCATGTACTGCCGACTGTCTACACTACTGACCAAACTATATCCATTTACTGTAGCCAAAAAGTATAGCTATATTTAAAATAAACAGGATTTTGATAAAACTAAGGTTTTACTTAACTGTATGCAATAATAATGCATGTAATATTCACATATTAGTATCATATTATAAAATACAAACATAGCGAATATGCATCTTTACTATTGTTTAGGTTTTTAAGATGTTTAGCCGTTTCTCATTTGGTTGTTTATGGCTGTACGCATTTACACAAGCATAGCGTTACTAACGATACTTTCACCATTTACTTTTTTAACTGGAAGAGGAGATAGAGGAAAAGAGGTTAGTTAATTGTAATTTGGTCTCTCAGAAGAACTCACATGATAAAAATTTTTTTTTATAAGTGAAAATTTGGGGTCAGGCACAAATATATATATATATATATATATATATATATATATATATATAATTTTGATATTGCTTGGATAATTTTAAACCATTTTGTAATTCCAGTCTGACAAGGCAGGTATTAAAAACTTACCTGCTGAATTAAATTACCAGATTTTTCATGTTTTTTTTTTTTTCCTTGTGTTGTGTGTGTGTATATATATATATATATATATATCTGCAGACATATATATATATACACACAGAAAGCATAGGATGCAAGCAGATCAAAGTTGTGGGGGTATAATGTACATCTTCACTACAAAACTGAACAATTCTCATTCAACATGTTGATTTTTGGTTATGCACTTGCTTAGGGCATCTATTAGTTTTGAATTCGAAGTTGTCCTCCTCTAAGACTGGTTGCCAACCACGGTTAAAGACTCCAGCCTGCCCTTCTATTTAACACATACCTTGGGGTGGGGGTGGGATCATACCTTTTCTAAGGGTATTTCTATGTAAGTGAATGTAATGAACTTCACTGGAATTCAAACTTGGTCCACCTATTTCTCATTCCAAGACACCATCTATTACAACATCCACACTTACAAATACCAATTAAAACTTGTTAAAAGGACTTTCTGAAGAGAAAAACAAAAACGCTATAAAAGAAAAAGCAGAAATCAACCTTACAGAATTTACTTTTCCGTTTGATAGCAACTGTTACTAAAACAGAACTTCAGTTTTATCAGCCTTACATCACCAAATGCATTCTACAAAATTAACAGGATTACCAATAATGATAACTCACCCTTCTTCACTTGATAACTGGCCTTGCTGTTCGGCTTTCATTCTATGAAGTGCGGCCGCTGCTTCATCAAGCGCACAACTAACGGAGGATGTAAGCTTTTTTAATACGTCGGGGTCAGTTAGGACCTTCCCATCTGGTGTGGACAGTTTTCCAATTCCTGAAAAAACAATTGTTTAAGTGATTAAATTAGAAGAGAATTTTTTTTTTTAAAAGAGCATTAAAAAAAAAAAAAAAAAAAAAAAATTCTGCCAATGTTTAACTATTGTGCCTGCCCTCCAAAAAACAAGATGCCAAAAAGTTACTCCCATGACATCACTATACTGTATACACTTGATTCCTTCTGCAATGTTTTTTTTTTTAAAAGTGATGGTTAGAATTTTAATAAAACCCAAATTGTAATCTTTTATAAATTTTTGAAAACATTTTTCATATTTCTTTATAAAATTGACAAATAATAAATCTTTATAAAAAGGTAAATAATAAATATATCGCATTGTACTTGGTTTACATATTTTTATAATCTTTTAAATAAACATTGCCAAGGAAGGTAAAAATATAATAGTGGTGTCAAAGAAATAACCAGCCTTTTGACACACCATTTTTTGTGGGCATGAAGGTTAAACCTTGCCAAAAATTTACTGGTATGACTTTCTGCAGAAATAAGATTCCAGACATTAACTATCAAAATTTGGAGTGATTTAAGATTTCATCAGGTGTTCATAAGTATTGTTTTTTTCCCATTATTATATGCCTTGATATTTCAACCAGTATACTCATTTTGGTTGTTATACTTGGGTTTCATCAGTTATATCCTCCAAGTCTTCATCAGTTATCTGATATCATATTTGGTAATCTCAGAAATTAGAACACTTTATTCAATACACAAGGTTAGATTGTTCTCATTCCATTTTGCCAGAGATATAACTGTTAAAACATGAATATAACAACCAAAATTAACATGCTGATGTGAGTAGCAAACCATATAATTCCTCATCTAAAAAATTCTGACAATTGTCACCCCCTCCCCCACTGGAAAGCTTGTATAAATATAAATGAAAATAAATAAAAATAAAAAATAATAATAATTGTCAGACAAAATATTTTTAAGATAAACACTAGGAGAACCATTTAAAAGCTATACACATCATATAAACTTTATCCTTTTACAATTGGAAGTACCCAAATGCACCCACAAGTTTCACCCATATAGTTCAGGAGCACCAAATGTGCTTACAATTGGGTAGCATAATATTTTAATACACAGTATTAACACCATCACATGATCAACTGGGAGTGCCAGAAATTCATAAAGTTGTAGATTTCCAAAACAATATCTCAGTCAGTAGTACCAAGAGAGTTAAGCTCATAGATTTAAGATTTCTGTCTTGAGAGGGCTTCCCCCACAACTAATTAAAGTTACCAAATATAAAACAACTCTCATTTCCTTTGCTTCAAATTAAATTATTTTTTCTCTCTCTCAAGCTATGCTTTGTGCATTAAAATCTTAATATCATTCAAATCCAGTAATGAAAGTTCATTGATAAACATATTTAGATTATTAGTGACCTTGGTTATGACTAATTATAGCATGCAGAATCAATCCTTCATTAAAAGAATCTTTTACATTTATAAACAAATTGATATTTAAAAAAAAAAAAAAAAAACGTTCAACAGCAAATATATTTGCAATGATTACATTTGAACCATGTCAGGTGGATAATACAGAGTGTCAATACACTAAAAGACAAGACTACAAAGGATGAGAAAGAGAGAGAGAAAAAAAAAAAAGGAATCACATCATCCAGTCCTGATACAATCCATAAACAGCCATTTTGAAAAGTCAGAGAGGTTGGGGGCATATATAAAACACAAACAACATTCAAAATATTAAAGGATAATATTTGACATTTTACTCTACAGCAGTGAACCCTGTTCAGATGATACTTAAGTGAGTTACTTTTAATGTTGCTGCCTTTTTACAGAGATAGCTTAAGTGGTTGGAGGAAGGTCATAGTTCATAAAGTTATTCTAGTCTGGGAACATTCTGGGATATGACTATGGAAGAGATCAGGGAGCTGGCAGGCAAGCTCAATAGACAACAAAAGATACTAATCAACATCGCAATGAAAATAAACTAATTTGGATTAAATCCACTTAGAAAAATTAATTATATTTTAATTGTACAATGCAAATTTTTGTAGATATCCATAAAGTGTGTTATATATATATATATATATATATATATATATATATAATATACACACACCCACGTGTGTGTGCGTGCCAACTCATTAAATGAGCATGACCATCACTGACAAGTTTGATCAATGTTTTTGGTTCTCATGAGAACGAATGATTCTTGAAGCCTGCAAGTAACTTACAATGCTTATTGTAGATGTGGTAAACTAGCCTGTTTTGTAAAGTGTTCAGCTTGTGGGTTTTAATATGACGTGTGAGGTTTCTAACACACTTGTCATTGTTTTCAGCATAGTACTGATCAGAGCTTGTAAAAAATCTGCCAATAAATATTTACACAGTATTAAATTACATTTACCAGCCTGAATGTTCAAGAAATTTTGTAGAAAATATACATTCTCCAACCTGTGTCCTATAAGGAACCATCATTTGATCTGACATGCTATACTACTTAGCTATAGAGAAGCACCTGGTTAGCAAAGTTCAAATTAATGTTTTTAAACACACAATCTTCGACAATTTTTCTTGATTGATCATATCTGCTCACGAAACATATCTTTAATAACATAAAATGAAATGGATTAAGTCAAACAATTATTAGAAAAACAAACAGAAAATATATTAATAATTGTCAGACTAAAAAAAAAAAAAAAAAAAAAAAAAATAAATAAATACTATATCTGACGCATTCGGTGGAGGAGGGGGCGTATTCAACATTTGATAATTTTGCAGCAATATGCACTTAAAGATTTTAAGCAGTTTTGATCAACATTTCTTTTCATGGTTAGCCATAAGGAATTGTAAATGTAGAAATACTTTATACTTAAGTAAAATAATAATAATAATATTTATTAAGAATTTATTACAGTAAATATCAAATTTTACAGAAACATTGTTGACAATTATGTATTTAGTTACATAAATAAATAAAAATAATATAAATTTTGAGGTTATATTCAATTTGTTAGGTATTTTTAATTTTCTCCTTTGTTTTAGAATACTTTGGCTGCAATGCTAACTTTCCTAAGTTGAACAAATTGGAGCTATTTTGTTTAGGCTTTGTTACCTCTCTTTCTCGTTTTTAGATCACTTTCTTCCAGTCAGGCAATAGCGAAATTCTGAAATTTATAATGATCTTATTCCATTTCAAAAATTAATCATGTAAAAAAAAAAAAAAAAAAAAAAAAAGAATATTTTAAATTAATATACAATCAAAAATAAAATGCTTTTGACCAAAGACCTTAATGATTTCACTGTAATTACTTAACAATAATGTAATGATATTCTGCAGACAAATCTATGGTTTATGTTACCTCATCTCATTGCATGGTTATGAACTATAAACCTAAATTGAGGTTGAAATATTTTGTAATCAGTTCTAATTTTTAGTAAAATTGTTGGATATATGAATAATTTGCAGTAAAAAAAGCAATTTTTTTGTTGAATACACCCCTCCACTGCCGAACACATTATATACTCATGTAGAAGACAAGCCGTGAATTTTTGGTATTAATTTCAACCTTTCCAGAAAATATTTACTTAGTGCAACTGGTCAAAGGCATGATTTTTAACTGCTTTAAAAAAAATGTTACCAATGTATCACCTAGTACCCTATTTTTTTGCTTAAAAAGAATAATTGATCATAAAAACTTGCATAACTACAAATAGAATTTAATTCTCATGCCTTTCTATTTATTTAAAACATGAAGAGAAAAGACAAACCTACCAAATAAAATAAAAAAAAAACACACAAACAGGCTTCTAAAAGTGACTTTCAATAAAGTCACATCTCTAAATAGTTATCTATGACAACTATACATTTACTTGTGTACAAGAGAAAATTCAAGGCTCACATACTCATTACCTTTCATGAACAGTTCTAAAACTCTTTACCAATATTAACCTGCACACATACAATGAGCTATACAATAAGGGGAAAAAAATATGATAGCCCTGAATGCTCTCATACATGTGAACATATATTTTATATATACAACAGATTTTTTTTTTTTTTACTTTAAATTCAAACCCTTTGAACTGCCAACAAAATTTGTGTTGTACTACTCATAATGCAGAATTTGTTTCAGAAAAATTGATATCATTTTGTAATGTAATAACTTGTCCAAGTCTTATTCAAATCATCTTAATTTCAACAGTATGTGTAGAAATAACTCAAAATTCTATGTGCAATTTTTTTTCAGCATAAAAATTTCATTCACCAAAAAAGAAAAAGGCATTTTTTGTGTTAGAGTATGCTCAAACACTATTGTGCAGTGTGCAGTGTGCATTTGTAACAGAATTTTCTAAAAATGCACCAACTGCAATGCAGATTAGGTTCTATGGTAGAAGCATTTTATATTCACGAATATCATCCAGTTTTGATTGTTTCCTTGGAAACTGAATTCAATGAAATGAATGTATTTGCATAATGTTTGGCCAGCCACATCATCTGGCTCTGTCCAGAAAGAATTAAATAAAATGAAATATTGTTGGCATTTAATAATAAACATTGAGGTTTTAATTTTCATCTAATGTCCATAACCACCAGGGTCATTTAAAATTTTCCAGTTTGATATAGACAGCTAAAAACAAGCTATTGCAAGTCATTTTTCATTGTTCTCCAGTTTATTAACAGGCAATAAAAATGGTTTTATATTAAATAATTCAGCATTGATTTCAATAAAGAATAACAAATGTAACAAGTATGTAAATAACACTGAATAACTGCAGATTTTGCAGCAAGAGAAATTAAAATTACTTTAGACAGAGCCAAAAATGGGTATCAAATAAAGAAAGAAATTTAAATTGTATCCCTTCAAATTTGTTTTTTCATAATTTTTTTCCTTTTAAATATTGTGAACATTCTTAAAGACTTTACGAGAGTTAATGTTTTAGTCAAATAGCTAAAATATGAACTCGAGATAATTCATATAGAGAATTCTTAATATTATAATACATGTG